TCAGCAGTAAATCACATAATTTACTGATATCGAAAACATAATTTGTTAAATTATATCACAGATTCCGCAGGTCCCTGGTGTACGGACACTATGCGGACATCAGCGATAAAAAAAAAAAAAAAAAACGTTCGTAATATATACCTAAAGCAGGTTTGAAGATTCACGCCGATCATTGAAAAACGATATGTACGTATGTATCACCGCTTAATTGTGTAACTAAATACAATACTTTTGAAGGGGACAGTTTTAAGTACAAAAAAATACGATGTCCAATAACCCGAAGGCAAAAAGTCTATCCGAGGAAAAATCACGCCGCATAAATTAATTGTATAAATAATAGAGATAAATAATATCTTTGATTATAAAGTTGATTTATTTTTAGAATATTATGTGAATTGTGTTACACAAATCTAACAAAGCTGCTTTTCAGATATAAAAGGCATAAAAGGGCCATTCTTCCAATCGTCTTTAATAATTTTTTTTCAAAAAAACTTCAAGTCAAAGGTTTAAAAAAATGACACAAGTAACAAAGCGTAGCAAATTACACTATTACTCTGATGGAGATATCATAATAATAGTGGATAAAACAATATTTCTATTACATAAAACAATAATCGGACTCGCCTCAAAAGTATTCCAAGATATGTTTTCATGTGCATCACCATTCACAAATGAAATTCCGGAGATAACGTTAGAAGATGAATCACCGATAATATTCGAAGAGCTTATATCATATATATATCCGGATACTTATATAAGTATAAATTGGAATAATGTAAGTGAATTTTTAAGAATAGCGGATAAATATATAATGGAATCAATTTTAATGGCAGCGAAAGCATTTCTTGAGCGAGAGTTTAGAAAAAATCCGTTACCGGCATTAAGAATGGCCGAACGATATGGATTTAAAGAACTTTACAAAGAATCATCTAAATTAATTTTAGAAAGATTTCAGGAATATAAAAGATCACAGACATTTAATCAACTTTCAGTAACAACACGTACTGCACTGACAACAAAATATGATGAATATACAAACGCATTAAGTAAATTAAGTAAAGTTTATTTCACAACTGGGTATCAGCATTGCAAACAATGTAAATCTGCATCAGAACATGATAAAGAAATTAGTGAAAAGTTTGATCGTAGAGTTAGACAACTTCAAATTCTTCCATTACCGTTACCCCCAACACAACCTTCTGTTACTAGAAAGATATTATTCGAAGCCATCGGAAACAATATGTGTGATAAACAATTTATGGACTTTCAGCTTCCTAGAAAGTTTAAAAAACATTTTGGGAGTTTTGAGCCTTTAGAATGTAAAAAGCATAAAAAAGATAAAAAAGATCAAAAATACTATTTATTTATTGAATTACCATAAAAAATCATAAATGCCTAAAGTGATTTCATGATCTGACTGGGTTAGTTGAATCAAAGTAGGGGAAATATAGAATGTATCATATTGTCTTGTAAAAAAATCCGTAGCTTGTTTAATTTGCCTAAATTAATAAAGTCTAATTTGTCTGAATTAATAATATAGTATTTTGACTAATTTGTTTGAATTAATAATCAACTCTGCTTCTCTAGGGCTTATATATATGAGTGTCGCTAAAAGAAAACCCGAAAATTTAAATATGACTTATATTTAAATCTTCGGGGTTTTTTTTAGCGATACTCATAAAAATTTTTAAAAAGTTTGATTTAAAAAATTTGCTGTCTCTAATCCGAACTTATTAATAAAATTTGTTATAAATGTTCTAAAACTTTGTATTCTGTTTTACAGAGTTTGTCTATTAAGCGTTCGGTTTAGAAGGCTGACTGCATAATCTTTTTATCGTTACGTAATGAACAGTTTAAAATTTTAATTGGTAGTCCGCAGTTAAAGGGAATGGTAAAAATCGGCGGGCATTTATTAGTTACCTTATATAGTAAACGATTGAAAAAATACTCATATCTCATGATCTATCCAACCTATTTTGATGATTTTACCACCATTAGAATCAAAAATATATGCTAAAAGAAGGTTTACTTGAAAAAACAACTGAATTCCGACTTTGTTTATTATGAGATTTATTATTTTTTCTACCCTTCAGAAACTATATGTGACTAGTGTTCCTCATCGACTAGTTGCAACTAATCCAGTCAGGGAATATACCATATTTGGGGGACGTCTAAAGCGGAGGCAACTCATATTTAATAATCTTTTCGATTAACTTTAGGGTTAGGGTCTTCTATATTGGGGTTAGGCTAGGTTTTAGTAGATAAATATAAGCAAAATT